TACCAGGTTGTCATCATCTTCCAGGTTGACATCATCTTCCACCTTTAAGCTGTTTGGAATGGATTTTGAGGTTAGGTGACATGTTTTAATCTATCCAAATGTCTAAAAGAGATCCAATTTTGATCCCTGCCACCTTTCCACTTTACTTCCTGCCACAATAAAAGCTAAATTGTCATAAACAGATGACTAAATAAAGAGGTAACTTAATGTGTTTCGTTTATATGATTTTGGGTCCACTCTCTTTTTTTGCGTCAGTTGTTTGAATTATCCGAATCCTAATGTTCAATACAACAAAGCTATTTTTAGTGCAAGAGAAATTTATTAATTATATTATTTATGCAAACAAGTTAAATACTCATGTCTTTTCTGCCTATATTTAGATTTTATGAGAAATCTGATAAGAAATCTAAACCATTACAAAAGTAATTTCGTATTATATGCATGAGTCCAAAAGTCATTGTGCTGAACTGTGAACAAATAAATATGTAACTAGTAGGCATTCAGGCATGGTGATCATGACTGTGCTATGTGATGTCCATATTAAGACACATAATAGATTGATGATGAATCAAGAACAAGAGAGAGAACAAATGAAATATTCATAACCATTTATAGTGTATACTTTTTGTATTTTTTCAGTGCATTTTTGGCACGATGAAATAAACCTATGTTCCTTGATAAGCTGTAATTTGTTAATTAACACACTCTGCATATTCAGTGTTTTCCTCTCCTCAACATTATTCCTCTTATTTTTGAGACATCCCATTTCTCTGTAATAAAAGGTTTTAATTTTACAAAGAAAACATATTAAATTTAAGTAAAGTCTACACTGCAAAATATGAAAAAATTAGCAGTTATTTTGAGATTCATGATTTTATTTTTTGTATTTTTCCTGGTTCATTTAAGCTTTTTAATTGCATTATGGAACCTCCTTGACTTTCAACATTTTTTAACTTCAGCACTGAGTTCAAATGAGTAGAATTAACTTCCAGTCAATTTTGAGTTAAGTACACTCATTTCATTTGATAAATTTGACTGTTGGGTTTTACAGTCCAGGGTGATTTACTTACCTGAAAGATTTAACATAATATAATAATCCAACAATAATTATGAGTAAAATAAGCAAACTTCCAACCTTTTTACATTGTGTACATTGGAATTTTAAAATTTTGATTTACAGTATTAGTTGTTGCCAGTCATGAATTTAGAGTAAAAAATTACAAACAGGTAATCAATGTTACAATCTCTATAGACTGTTGTTGCTCATGAGTGATTCACTTCAGCCTGTGAGATAATAATTAATATTTTGTAACTGTACAAGTACTTGAGCCTCCACACAAACCCGACAAACTGGGTCTGACAAATGTAGGAAAAAAGACGATGTCGAATTTGTTCTTCTATGACAACATTGAGCATTCTAGGCATAATCCATTTAAGACCCTGTGCTTTTTTGCAGCCTTTGTAATGAAGGCCATTTATCTGAAGCACCTTTACAGATGAACAAATGAAGCAGAGCAAATCATTGAGTCACGAGGGCCTGATTTCACAATACGTGCGCATTGCATCAGAGACTTGGCATGAAGGACTACCTTGTGCCTTCTGTGCTAAAGCAGAATTCCCCTTATATCACCCATCAAAGTCGGTTTGAAGAGATATAGTAAATTTATAATGACAGTTCATAGGTGTGTTCAGGTAAAGGGGGCAGAAATCTATCCTCAATGCTACATTGTTCGCCTGCATGGAGGCAAATTTGGGGCTTTTTAGGTTAGTTTATTTTTGTGAGAGGAGAAAATAAGATTACGCTGATCAAATTTGCCTGATTTGTGTAATTGTCAGAGTAAGGTTTTATAAAGTGGTTAGGGTTTTTTCAGCAACCTTGCCTAATGCTTTTTCAATTGGACTTAATCACAAAAACTACTGTATGGTATTTGTTGGTTTTTATATGCATGTAGGTCAGTGTAGGCTACTGTATGGGTCAAAGATGAACATCATACTGGTACAATGTCGTAATATGTTGTTAAGAGCTGATCTAAAACCCGCTTCAGATTTTTAAAAAAGAATTTACCACATGGTTATTTTAAATGTGGGAATTGTCTACAGTACAACTTCACATACAGTACAAAATATCAACTTTTACACATTTCCATACAGCAAAAACTTAACAATTTCAAGGCACTATTTTGTGCAAGACAGCTAACATAATCTATAAGTTGTGGTGCTCGTGTGGTTTATGTTATATCGGTCAGACAAGTAGGCCACTAAAAGTTCGCATTTCTAAACACTGATTCGCTATTCGACATCATGAGAAGTCTTGTTGCGCAGCATTTTTAGTGTTGGGTGTAATGTGTGGTGTTGTATTCATACACATTTTTTGGGGAACAAATGTATCAAATTACATTTTAAATGTATGTAATTTGACTACAGTTACTAAAAATCAAGGTAGTTGTGTTACTTAGGTTACAAATTTATTTTTTGGAAGAAAAAAATGCTTCTTTAAATGCACGTTTTCCGCTGCAACGTCAATTATTAAGCATGCACTTTTAAATTGCTGAAGAATGCATGCTAAAATAGCTGCTGAAGAGAGTGGCTGCTTCTTCAAGCAAAAATACAGACAATCCTTTTATTTTATTGAGCTTAAAAACTAAAATATTGCAGTAAAATGCAGTCTAAAGAACATTCAACTCTTTTTAACTTGACCAGCAACTTGTGTGAGCATTTGAATAGAAAGCATTCTGACAATACTCATCACTAAGGATGACACTGGCGCCCCAAAAAATGGCGATCCGATTCAGCCTGAACAGGCTAATTAGATTTTTTGTGCAGGATTGGGAGTGAAGGTATCTTCTGAATGTGAAGAGAAGCATTACTGCTTATGGGGTCGTTCACATAACTTGTCTTTTGCGTTTTTGTCACATATTGGGAGTGCATATTAAGCGCTCGCATTTCCAAGGCACACCCAGTTAAACAAGTGACAAGAATTGACCAATCAGCTTCATACTTTGGAATATACACATTTAGGTAGATGTAGACTTATTGCCTCAGACAAACACAGAACACTCAAACACTGTAGTGCTTTTTCAAACTAGGGATGTCAATGGTTACAGGCATCTAGTTTTCTTCTAAATGTCTTCTTTTGTGTAAGAAAATAAGACAAACAAGAATGGAAAAAAGTGAATGATGGGAACATTTTAAGTTTTGGGCAAACTCTTTTTTTTTCTTTTTTTTAAAGTAACTTACCCACCACTGGTGTTGGGAAAAAAGTAATATATTACAATATGTAGTCACTTAAAAAAACAAATAATGTTAATAAATGTGTTAGTTACTTTTTAAGGACGCAATGTGAATATATATGTGCTATGTTATTTTATTGTAATTTGCATATTTTTTCTTTTTTTAAAGAGATACGGTAGTCGTAAAATTATAATATATATTACTTTTTACCCAACACACATTCTGTCTCCACTCTACAATAGATAGGGATTGAAGTTGTTAAGTGTCCACGTCGAGGGGAGAGCTTGCAAAAATGTTGTTAAAACGTGAAGCTTTTGGATTTTCATTCTAGATACTTTGTCTCCAAGAGGTTTAAATGAGGAGTTTGATATTCGTCCTTTTCTTTATTGTTCAACTAGTTGTTTGGGTAAATACTTTTGTTGTGTTTCTTTGTTATATTCTGTTATGTTTTTTCTTTGTTTTGTTATGTGTTATTAGGATTTGTTTTTGTATTTTCGTTTTGAATATGTGAGCTGTATAATTTATGAATGTGTATTTTTCTATTTTTTTGTTTGAGATAATGTGTCAGACCATGTGATCCGGAAGTGTACATAAAAAGAGAGCAACATACTGTGATGAACACTGTTTGGTGAAGAGCTGGTGTGCTTGAAATGTTACACGCCGTATCAGCCTTTTCCAATTTAATAAATTGGCTTTTTTCAGAGCTTTGGTGTGGCCGCCTTATTAAATATATATCAAAGATGAGGCGTCCAATTTGTTTTGGTCAACATTAAAGGTAATAAAAAAGATGCATAAATTTAATGATTTTATTAATATTTCTAAAAATAAATAGATGAAATATGAGCGCAATTATGCAGATTATAATATCAAGGTTATTCCATCAAATGTTGGTTTCTTAACTCTTCTGAAGGTAAAACATTGATATTGTGCTGTACAATTATAAAAACATCTGAAACTTGTCACTTTTCTTATTGTTATGCAATAGAACATTTTTGTTTATGCAAATTGAATAAAAACAGTCAAAAAATATACTTATTTTGTTTTATTCTGTGAACTACTGTTGACATTTCCTTCAACTTTAAGAAACATAACATAATTTACAGCCTCCCCCCCCCACCCCACCCTCTTTTTTATGCTTAAAATGACAAATAAAAGGTCTTATTTAACATATATAAAGTATATGTGATCATACTAATATTTATTACATAATGTTGTTTTTATTTTTTAATTATTTAAAATTTTGCTAACAAGTCCTACATTATCTGGATGCAGGCTTTATGATGCAAGCTGAGATTGCACAGCTTGCAGATGCAATGTCAGAGACAATCTACTCAATGGGGCAAGCGACGTAGGTGAGCACATTAGTAGGCATTGGATGCAGCACAGAATGCGTCTGCATCAAGTCTGGAGCCAGACCCCTCTGAAAAATGGATAAAAAGATAGTAGCGAAGTATAACGTTTTAAAATATAAATTAAGTATTTGAATCAAATGTTTATTATTTTAAATATCTGACGGAATTTTTGTTATCTAAACTTTTGTTACACAGATAGACCAGTGAATGACTTCTTTAAATTAATTTAAAAAATTATGAAACGCTTATCTGTTTTCCCATTTCTAACATAACTTGATTAAAACCTAAAAAGGTCTCAAGTAGTAATAGCTGCAGTAGTAATACAGTAACCTATAAATCACAGCTCTCTCATTATTCCAGATTCCATCACTCTGATTGGCTAGAGAGATGACGTGCCACTGACGTAGGTCTCCCTCTGCCTGTCTAACTTTTCATCTTGACAATAAGATCAGAGAGTAGAGTCGCATTACAGCAGCCGCGTTTCATGGGAAAGCAGCCGAAAATGGTTCGCTTCTGACAGGCCACCAAACATTGGATATACTTTGATTTCTGTCGATACGTTTTTTAATACTTTGGTTTGAAAACATTCTTCCTGGAGATTAAGAAAGCTACAAGTGGTCGGAGGAAAACTCGGAAAACACGCCATCGTAGGATGGACAAATCCGAAGCTATGAAAGTATGCATGGTAAGGAATCTTTCCCGTTGTGTTCGCGGTAACTTTGTTTAGCAATGTATAGTTTTTAATGTAGGCCTATTAGAATGTATTGTTGGTCAACACTATCATGTGGGCTACTTTGTCGCAAATGTGAACGTGTATTCTGTTGTTATCGCTCGTGTCGCCTTGAATGTTGTTAAGAAAGTCCGTGTCGACGACTAACTTATACGACTAATAGTAAAATTTTCAGTCGGTTTCATGCGGTCTTTTGGTCTTCTTGAACATAACTTAATTTTGATTTAACACTTATTTTGCTGTTTTATTTGTGAAAGGCTTCTATGAGAGAGAAAGAGATAACAATCACTGATAATGCACATTGTCACACTGTACTGCAGTGTATATTAAGTGCTGATATTTTATTGTTGTGGTTCACACTTCGATCGATAGGCCAATATAAATATTAGAAAAGCGCTATGTCTTCTTATTCCACTTAAATTACTTTTGAAATGTCTAAACATCTTTAGTACACACTTGTTGAATTGTAATGCAAGTCATGTGTGGTTTTGAAAGTAGAAGTATCAAATAGCCTGTCTTAAAACCTAGCTACCTGCCTGCTTAGACATTGATTTTGGGCATTGATTTCACCTAAGATGTCAAAAAGTGCCAAAATGTCAAAAAATGTCAAAATGTGATATTGTCCTGGTTGTAATTGTTTTAATATTTTTAAATTAATATAGCTTTTTTAAATACATTTTTATGTTTGCACAAAAAAACATTTTAATTATTATTTATGTTTATCATTTGTGACAGTTACTAAATAGTCATTGGTACTACAAAGAAAATGCTCTATAAACAATAAAACAATAATAAAACTATTATTATTAGAAGTATAATTAGTAGTAGATTAATAGTAATATATATTTTTTCATTTGTGACAATTTTATTTTTGACATTAATTATTAAATGTTTATTAAGCCACAGTATAAAACATTATTTATTGTAATAGTACCGTAGGCAATATTTTATTTTGATTTAGATTTTTTTATTTGATTTTTGACTATTTAGTAAACTGACATTAGGCTACATCAATAAAATATGCATCATATTATATTAATAATAATAATAATAATTAAATTAAAATAATTAATTGTTAAATACAATGTATTTTTAATATTAAATATTTATAATAAATTATTTATAAAATAATAATAAAAAATTATAAAATAACATATTTTTAAAACAATATTATTATTATTATTATTATTATTATTATTATTAATAGTAGTTGTGTTTTATGTTTATAAATTTGGTTATTTGGTTACGACTTTTAAATATTATAAATGTGTTATTAAAATAATAATTTAATAATAAAAAATATGTATCTATGTACTTTTTGCAATATAGAAAATATATTTTCTTCTACTATTTGGGGTTCTTCCATATTAATAAATAATTGAGCTTAAATGTGCAAGGGTCATTAAAATAGTTAATTATTAGAAAAGAGAAAACATCTGCAGAAGCAATTCTCAGACTATCTCAGCTAGTTCTCAGTCTTCTCTTCTCTTATGAACCTGGTTTTGTGCGAGTTTTCTAAGAGTAGTGCCAGTGTTAACTCTATCCCACATTGAAAGAGCCATTCACTGCCCTTCTGTTGGTTTTTCCAGCTATGCGCTGCCAAAAGTGGCACTATAAAAACGCTTCATTGCCTGAATGGCGAGACTCACCTTTAAAACTTTCCCTGGAGTCCGGAGCCATGCTCGACTCATACTGTATATCTTAAACTTAGAACAGCACTGTTTCTCAAAGCAGTGACTTTCAAGATCATTGCCAGTCTGTTAAAATGACACAATACAGCTGTTGGATGTAGGGCACACATCTGAAAATTTCCACCTCAGAGTGCTTTTTATTACAAGATTTCTGATCGTTTGTGGTTGAGACATGTTTAAAATAATGTTTGTGTTCTAAATCAAAGTGAGCGAAGTTACCAGATATGGTTCTTCACCTGATAAAGTTTTAATATAGAATCTTTTAACGATTTAATGTAATGACTAATATACGATGTGTCAGTGATTCTGTCTCATATGTACACACTGGTGAGTCAATGTGGGCAAATGGGTTTTGCTATTGTAAGAGGGTTCTTTTTTACACTGTAAATAAATTATTCATTGGATTTAAAAATCCAAGTAAGTGGTTGCAAACAATTTATTTGGGTTACAATTTAAACAAACAAATGAAGTTAAACATTACTAAATTAAATTTGTTTGTTTAAATTCAGCCCATATAAATGGTTTGCAACCAGTTACCTTAAAAAAAAAAAAAAAGAGTAAATCCAATTAATCACTTTTATATAGTGTATATTGTGCAAAAAATCCAAAGAATATGAATGTTTGTGACATTTTAAAGGCTTATTTTATTTATTAATTATTTATTTATTTATATATTGAAATTGTATCCATGAGAGTCATGTAAAGATGGATCAAATGGATCAATCTTTACATTCCTATTGTGGATCGAATTTCAATATATATGATATTTAGCTATGTACCGGTTGAGTTGGATGATATGCTAATATAGATAATTAACGATTTAATAATGGACGCAACACAACCCAGCAATCCTGGATGTTAACCTGATGCCCCTTTCTGTTTTTCCCAAATCATAATATCAGAGAGTTATTAATAATGACACCTATGTCTAATTGGCCATCAATAATGTGAACAGATGTAAAAACCTATTCACAATCAATCACTGGTCTGATTGTCCTCTTAACTAGTGGTCTGATTTGCTCTCTTAACATCCCCTCTTTCCCATAAACCCCAGGTGACTTTGAAGCCTGAATTTGTTTATTGAAATGACAGGGCTAAGATTGTTTGCAACATGACTGTTTATTCAGGCTATAAACTTTGCTAAGTTACGAGTCTGCTCTGGTGGCCGGTTGCTAGATGAAGATAGCTCATCCTTGCCAGTCGGCATAGCTCACGCATTCCTATGCAAGTGAGAGCGGATGAGGGAGGGGGTGGACGGAGGCGTACGGCTCCCACTGTAAACTTCCTGTCAACACAGATGCCAGTGACAGGAATCAGATCTTTTGTGAGCTCTTTCCACCCACAGTCACAAGTGCTTTGCATACAATGAATAAGCACTCACATGTTCTTGGGATTTCTTTGGATCAGATGTGTAGGAACAGATGTGTAGTTTGAAAAAATCCATAAGCACACTGAGTCAGAAGTTTTTGCAATTGTTTCATGCTGAAAATTAGTCAGTCACAGAAACGTAACTGAGACTGATGCTATTAATTATTGAATATGTTGCAAAAAGATATATCTAGGGGAAAAGGAACTAAAGTCTTCAACAATCTCTATACCTTATATAGGATTAAAGGAGGAGTTATTGTATACTAATATATACAATTTCAATTTCACCAGATGATTAAAATCGCTTTATTTATAAATAATTTACTCTTAGTAGGACAATTTTGAAGATCTGTTTTGTCTTCTCTTAAAATACCAACTAAAGGAGGACATACAGTTGAAGTCAGGATTATTAGCCCCCTTTGATTTTTCTTTTCTTTTTAAAATATTTTCCAAATGATGTTTGACAGAGCAAGTAAATTTTCACAGTATGTTTGATAATGTTTTTCTTCTGTTTTATTTCAGCTAGAGTAAAAGCATTTTTAAACTTTTAAACACCCTTTTAGGGACAAAATGGTTAGACCTTTTAAGCTTTATTTTTTTCTGATAGTCTACAGAACAAATCATTATTATACAATAACTTACTTAATTAACCTAGTTAAGCCTTTAAATGTCACTTTAAGCTGCATAGAAGTGTCTTGAAAAATATCTTATCTTATGTATTGTAATCATGGCAAAGATAAAATAAATAAGTTATTAGAAATGAGTTCTTAAAACTATTATGTTTAGAAATGTGCTAAAAAAATCTTCTCTCCGTTAAACAGAACTTGGGAAAAAAATAAACAGGGCGGCTAATAATTGAGGGGGTTTAATAATTCTTACTTCAACTGGATATCCCTTATCGATAATGTGTAGAGAGGAAGGAAAATGAAGGATTATCCCATGCAATGTGTAGTTTACAACTTAAGAATGTGGATTAGTTTAATGATTAACAGGATATTTATTAAAAACCAAATCACAATTTATCCTGAGCTGGCAGTATGTTTAAGTTATGGACATGGACACACATCAAACAGTGGTGTTGAAAAGTTGCTCATGAGGCATTAAAATGATTTGGAAATTACCACTGGCTTTTATGGTGTCTCTGAATATGTGCTGCCACAATATGAGTAAAAAAACTGACATTGTATGACACTGTATATTTTTTTGCAATGTATAATACAATTTGAATACAATTTAACTAGGTGACTTATAGTGGCTATAATACCTTATAATTAGATTGATTGGGATAATTTCGAAGGGAGTTTGTCTGCATAAAATACAATAAAACGCATAGCAAGCATAGATAAATACGATCAAGAAAACATGCAAATGAAATAAACAGTTCTTTATGCTTTTCTTGGCAGCGTATTATAATTCAGGTAGAGAAATGAAAAAATAACAAAACACATAGTCTTCATTATATATACTATAGGGCTGAACAATATTATAATTTGAGCATCGATATCGAAGTGTGCGTCTGCAATAGTCACAAGGCAGGATTACATTGTTTATTGAATATTAAAAGAGAAAGATGTTATTTAATATTATTTTTATATTATTGTGTGAAATTACTTGTACAATGATGACCATATATATATATATATATATATATATATATATATATATAGATATAGATATAGATATAGATATAGATATAGATAGAAACATTTTAATACCGTTTAAAAATTGACGCACTACGACTGTGGTGATCATGTCTTTTTTTCAATCTAATGTATTGAAATCTTTCCAAATAGAGCTGTTCAAATCGTCTGGTGAAATTATATTAATTTTGCAACATATATCTCAGCAAAATAAAATATTGCAAATTATTAGATTTTTTTCAATATCGTGCAGCCA